ATGTTTGACCGCTATCTCGCCTGATGGTCAACGATGATGCGGTCTACGATGGAGCACGTCGTCCTATAAACAACCTATTCACTCGGGCCTTGAAGACACCCAGGTATAACCCTTCAGAAAATTGCTCGTTGGCCGAGTGCTCGCAAGTGCCCGGCGCAAGGGGTCTCGGGTTCGATTCCCGGGTCGGGCAAAGTATTACTAGTATTTAAAATCTCGGTAGTAGCACGAAGTCTGGAAATGTGCCCGGTATATGGCAATAGGCTCACCCCCTATTACATGGGACTCATAACATAAATAGTGAAAAGTGGGTGCTACTTCTGTATGCACCTCTGCCTACCCTTTCGGGTATAAAAGGCGTGATGTTAAAATTTAGTTATAAAAATAAATATACAAATATCGTATAAGGTATCCTGTTTTTGAACCTGTTATCATATAGAAGTCAAGCAGGTACTCGCTAGGTATACCAACACCTCAATATAATCATACGAGTCGTTAAATTCGAAGAGAAAAATGTTCTAGGAAAATATTGCTTACTTCATACACCAGGTGTCGCTAATGGCGTTTAAAAGGACATAATGGTTTTGTCGGTGAAAGCTGATATGACAGTAGATAATTTTAAAGGGAATATTGAAAACGTTCATTTTCAGTCAAGAGGTAAACTGAGTTAAAAATAACTGTGTCTTAAATCTAGGAGGAATAAAGTTCAATTTTGAATTATTTAATTTCTTTGTATGTTACATTATAACTGGATTTTTTTTTTTTGGAAAATCGGTAACCAAATATTAGACTCGAACCCAAAATACATTGAAAATAAGAAAACCCTTTATTTCACACGCTAAAACAAGTGACACACAGTTTATAAATAGCTACTAATGTCTCAAGTCTGCAGTGAAATGGGACGAATTCAGCATGTGCAAGACAGGGCCTTGCGCTGGTATTCTACTGGCCCCTTAAGTGAGTCGCGGACGAACAAGCCACCAATTAGACAACAAAAGCAATTAGCAATTTAAATTAATTATAATAACTATCGTGAGATATACTAAATTAACTAAAGTCGCGCAGCTTACATGTGTGAGTGAGCTGCGCTTACACTGAGCAGCGCGACGCCGCCTGCGACCGCGCACGCTGCTCATGAAGAAGAACCCCTCTGAGGTTCGAAACTAGTAGAGCTTTTCTCAGTATATTGTGTACATGAGTAACCCGTGATTATAGTCAATTACATTTTTTTATGCAATATGAATATGATATATTTTATTGTTATTACTTTTTAAGGTGTAAATATTTTAGTTTTAAATTATTTACATTTTAAGATGTGTATATAAAGTTAGTATATAAACAATGTAACTCGTGCTTGTAAAAAAAAATTAATTAATAAAACATGCACTATAAAATACACATAACAAAATAAATTAACATACATAAAAATACACTTTAAATAGACAAAAAAAATGCTAAACTGTTGCACTTGTAATCACTCGACAATCAAGCATTACCTACTACTGCATCCTTAAAAAATATATCTTGAGCAAAATAACCTACAAAGACCACAATTTTTTTTTACATTTTCAATTCTAAAATCGAAAATGAGCTAACAATTTCAGCTCACATAGATCCTTGTAACAAACTTTGTTTCCCTCCGGACCTCAGAGGTCAACCGGCAATCGTAAAATCAGAACCTCTGTTAGGATTCTAGGTAACCGAGTTACTTTGTGAAATCGATCTTGTAGTTACAACCGAGACTTGGTATTTGTAAGGCTTGTTATTGTTGAATGTTAATTTTATAAGCTTTTGTTTGTATGGACATAAAATAATTTAACTTTAAGGTCATTTGAAGTACCTACTGATTATAAGACTGCTTTGTTGGCCGAGTGGTCGCAATTGGGTAGTTTTGAGAAAATTAAAAATCTAATTATTCCGTCAGTTAGATAATGACAAAATAATAGACACGTATTTTATTATTTTCTCGTATAAAGTTACAATACTTAGATAAAATTGAGTTAGGTTTAGGAGTGGGAGGTCGTTACGCCACAATGTGCTACATTTTGTAGCATGCTATGATGTCACACGACATTTCAAATCAATATATCGTAGAAAGCATTTAATTTTGTAAGAAAAGAAAAAATACGTGTCTAATGTTTTAAATTAATCTACCAGACGAATATTAAAAATAAATTTAGGAAACTAGCCTTTTTTAGGACGCGCAGTTCGCCATAAAAAAACTGTGATATCAATGCAAATAATGTGTTAGAACCTTAAAATAGTAACTACTTCGAAAAGTACCCCATTTGAGTCCATTGTCCCCAATCAAGGACGGCATTTTTTTTAATACTTCTCGATATATTTGTATTTTTTTTTTGCTGATAGTAGTTTGTGGACGTCATATCTTTGATTTAATAAAAGTTTTTCTTTTAAATTATCTGTAGTTTGTATTTGGGTCCAAATGGGTTAAGTGCCGTAATGTGCACCTCTGCTTACCCCTTCAGAGATGAAAGTCGTGATGTTATGGTATGGAAAAATAAATATTTTGTTCCTTCCTTTCAATAAAAAATGCGGGTAATTATTCTCAAAATCTCACAGATATACCTGAATTCTTATTCCCAACTTATGTATTGTACCAAGAAACAGGAGTAAAATTATCTGAATCCAATCCATTTATTTCACTGAAGTATTCTGAGTATTCGCCCCTTCCGCGCCGTCCCACTTTCGGCGCGAACCCTCGGGACAAAAGAAACTTTTACAGGACGAAACTTTTAAAATAAGCCTTTTGATTCGCAGGAGCAATCAATAATAATACTTTTGTTGTTACTATATTTTGGAAATCATTGAACTGTAAGTGGTATTAAGTTCAATATTCGCGTTTGATTTTGTATTTTTTCAATGCTCTTAATTGCTTTGTTAGTAATCCGATAACCATATTTAAATAGTAATGTTCTGTATGGTATTATTTAAGTATGGAAGAGCCATGCTTCGGCGCAAATGGGCCGGCTAGACCGGAGCGATACCACGGCCTCACAGAAAACCGACGTGAAACAACGCTTGCGTTATGTGTCATCATGTGAGTGAGGTTAACGGAGGCTCAATTAACCCCTTCCCAGTTTCCCCAAACCCCGAATCCTCCACAATCTTCAAATTCCCAATTTCTCTTCTCAAGGCCGGTAACGCACTTGTAATGCGTTTGTGTTTCAGGTGTCCATGGGCGACGCAGATTGCTTATCATCAGGTGATCCGTCTGCTCGTTTACCGGCTTATGCCATAGAAAAGTCTACTAACATCTTTTGTGTTTATAAAGTTTTAATAAATTCTGGCCGCAAAAATCTGTGTATTAAAATGCTTTCCAATTTATTTTGTTAAAAATATAGAGAGTTTTGATACGCAGGTAAAGTAGATTTAGATGTAAAATTATTTAGGATATTGTTTTCAAATAAAATCAATTGTAAAACACTCGTACTGCTAACATATAATGTACCTTTTATGTCAAAGTAAAATAAAATTTTCAAAATGGATTTGCTTCAAAAAATATGCAAAGTTTTCGGCATAGAGAGGACTAAAAATGCAAAATACAGGCACGTGACCTACAGTTCCTTTTGATCTGCTTCAAAAAAATCGGGTCACATCGGCAAATGGTAAAAGTCGTTAAAATGCGCATAAAATGCATTTCATTTTGGGAATTTACATATATTTCTGTGCTCCGGGACCAAATTTTAAGCACCGCTCTTTTTGATCCTTCTGTACGTATGAAGCTGAGTAAATTTTTGAATGTCAGAGACCCAAATATTAATTACTTATAAAAAAATATTTTTGAAAGTCAGTTTAAGACACAATATAAATATCTGTCAAGACATCAAAGGATTGCAAGGAGCGCTACCTAAAAACCATTTTCTCACACAATTAAATATTTTTATATAATTATGAGATTATAACAATCCAGAAGTCAACATAATTATACTACACATAAAAGCTCTATTATCCACAGTATACAAAAATTGTAACATTGACCTACATATCACTACATAGCATAAAACAAAGATTGCCTCGTTGGCCTAGTGGTCGCAAGTGCGACTGCCGGGCGATCGGGGCCCGAGTCGGGCAAAGTTTTATTGGGTTTAAACTGTCAAACACCAAGCGGTCACCGGTGACCGCAACTTATTTTTCTTTAATTGTGTCTATAATGACGGTATTCGACGAGTTAAAAAAAATCTCAGTAGTAGCAGGGAGTCTGGAATTATGCCCGGTATAATATGGCAATAGGCTCACCCCTTATTACATGGGACTCATAACATTAATAGTGAAAAGTGGGTGTTATATTGTACAGTAGCATAATGTGCACCTCTGCGTACCCCTTCGGGGAGTAAAAGGCGTGATGTTACGATAATGATGATGATTAATAACAATCCAAAAGTAACCATCTACTATACACAAAAGCTCTATTATCCACATTAAACAAAAATTATAACATTGACCTATTTGTAACCATAAAATACAAATGATATCACGTATATGCGTCAGCAACCCGTCGACGTCAAAACACCAACAGAAAATGTAAGGCAAACTTTTTTGGGCATCGTTCAAATCACTGACATTATCTCAACAACACAAAACGTACGAAAGAAACTTCTAACCGTTTTCACGACATTAAACGTTCATAATACAAAACTGTTGACATTAAAATTCCATGCGTTTTCTTCCAGACTACCATTCGTACACAAATTACTATATGTCCATATGAAGATATCGTTATACCGCCAAAATTTAAACAAGATTAACATTGCTTGTATAACATTTTACCTACAACCTAACTTGGCCTTTATGACTTTGATATAAGAACGAAACTGAATTTGAAGCAACAGAGAGTAGCTGCTAATAGTAACTTTGTGGAACTTGACAGGGATGTTTCGCATCAGTACGTTGGTAGACGCAGCGGCGTACGGACGCGTGTCGCCTGCTCCGCTTCCCGCGAAATAAAGTTCGGAATTTAAAAAGTTTGCCCCGCGATGTCAGACATATTGGATTTTTCGTGAAACTTTTCTGTGTTGACGTTGATAAGTTGTTGTTTTTTTTGGCGTTATAAAACTGTGTAAAATGTGAGTTTGGCTGTGTTGGATTTTATAGGTAAGTCCGTCGAATAAGAGGATTTTAGGATTTGCTCGTTAAATGAAATGTTCGTACTCGCGTAACATTGTTAAAATTTTCATTTGGGATTATCAACTAAATGTTTGATTGCTCATATGTACGTTTGTATTTGCGTTCCAAATAGAACATGAAATGACACGTGATTTGATTGAAATAAAATTGTACTCTGAATTTCACTGACAAAAGATATCCGATCAAATACGGAATAAAATTTAATATTGTGTTGAAAATATATTTTTGATCAAACAATTCCTTCTCTATCAATTTTTGTTGGATATTTTTTTCCATTTATATATCACGGGTAATTTTCCGTAAGTGTATAATATTTGTGTTGTGCACAAATACACACAGCAATAGGTCGTATATACTATGATAGACAATTAAAATGTCATCATCACTACTGACACTTTATTATTTTTAATATGATTGCAAAAAAAAAGGATTTTTATTTCGATCTCCCATCTCTATTTTAACGTCATTAGACAACAAAATATGATATTATTTGAGTAACATGATAAAAGTTATATATAATGAGACAAAGCTGTAAAAACATCCTTGGTAACTGCATCCACGGAAGTACATTTTACATTATGTAAACCTTAGGTAAATAAAATACTTGATACCATAATAAGTTAATATTCCACCGAAGTATCCACGTTACTATATTTCTAATTAACTCGTCGAGTACCGGTTTTGCAGACACAATTATAGAACAATAGGTTGCGGTCACCGGTGACCGCTTGGTGTTTGACAGTTTAATGAGATGCAATAATTACTCTTTAGTACAAGGCAAATGGCGCCCAACTGGGACCGTTATACAACATCAAAGGTCCCATTTGGGCGCCAATTATCTAGTACAATGTGTTCAACCTTTTTGGGGAAATATTTTGGGGACTAGGATAGAGGATTATATTTGGTATTACTGAACACAAATGAGTATGAGATCATTTGAAAATCGGTGATTCTATTTTTAGGAATCTCTTTTTTCAGGGAAAAAATTGTCTAATGACTTCCTCTCCCTCCCTCCTTGACCACCACTTTCGGTACGTTCGTTACGTTCGGTATGTTCCACCTTCAGTAAGGCGAGTTTCAAACTCTTATGGACTAAAAGCCACTCCGTTCCTACTCTTGCTTCGAGTCAGAGTCTCGCCGCCCTTTGGTCTTCCGATGTAATTCTTGGATACTGTCGATCTTAATGTTAATCTAAAATTTGTAATAGATTCATCAATGAGTCCTATACCAATAAAACTAATAAGTTACCTAATATTGTACTTTATTAACAAAGCAATAAGGTTAAAATTTCATCAGGGTACATTGATGTACTGATGTCCATTTCAATTTCGAAAATTGCCAATGAGTATTTGAGTCCCATTTGTATCCGGGGTACAGCAATAAGCCCGCTACCTAATGCATGATACCAATAACGTAAACTAGCTAATGGCACTGCCTATCCTTTTTAGATAATATAATATTACGCTCTTGCCTATTGAGGGGTTCAAAGAGGCATAAGGCGCTCATCATCATCATCATCAATAGCATTTAAGTGCCCACTACTAAGCAAATACCTCTTCTCACACGTAGAATAATAGAGCTGTAATCACCATGCTTACTCAAGGTGAATTGTAGATTTCAAACTTATAATTACAAATTACAAGTCCAGCTTTCCTAGCGATATTTTCGTTCATAGTCAACTGACTTCAAAAAAAAAAAACATTCATCCGAACATAAGTAGTATCTCCTCCTTTTTTGAAGTCGGTAGAAAGGAAGAGTTTCTCAATTTGACTGTTTTTTTTTCCGTATTCGGCACTGACTTTTCTCCTGCCAGTGGGTGTGTAAGCTATAAGTACGTATGACCAATAATAGTTTTATTTTGCTTTTTAATTTTTACTTTTCATTTGTTTTACCTATGTCAGTAGTTTCTTAATAATCTTAGCACAGTAATCTAACATGCAACTCTACAAAGTCACATTGATATTTCTTTTTTCAATAAGAAGTGCACTTGATTTTAATAGACTGTCTAAGGAATTTGACATCGACTTATTCTGCACCAGTGTAGTATCCTTGCGACATCAAATCGCACAAAACTTCTTCGATGGTTAACTTCTTTTTGTAATTATTCTTCTAACAATTAATATTTGTTAGTAATTAATTGTCTTCTGTACTCTTTTTTTGTACCATTTTGTTTTTTTTTATCTATATGTGGAGGCTTGTAATTGGCAATTTGTCAATATTATACTCTTATAAAATCATTTTCTATGTATTAGTCTGTAAGCCTTCTTAAATAAAAAAAATATTTGCAAGGTCCTCCAGCGGCCATCTTATGCAAGAGGAATGCGTTTACTAACATATATTATTGGATATACACACTGTCAGAGCCAAAATAACAATTTTATAGATCAAATAAAGAATTACTAAGAATTGAATTCATATTGCACGTTGCCCAGCGACCATGCTGCTAAAGCTGTTTTCTATTGCATCGTTTTATTACTACTTTTATCTGACCTGCAGCTGTAGCCAGATGCCATTTAGCACTTGTCTACAAGTAGACTAAAAAATCAAATTACGGAATTGACGTACATTTTGGCACTTTTCAATGTCATCCCCATACATTTAGTTTTATACTCTCTCTGTAGACAACCGCTGAAGTGGCGTTTGGCTAAAGGCACTGAATACCAAAACCTAGATTTCATATCTATACCTTTTAAAAAAAACTTTCGCCTTTTTCCCACCTTTCAAAGCTTTCCTGGACTTCCACGAACATTTCAAGACCAAAATAAGTCAAATCGGTGCAGTCGTTCTCGAGTTTTAGCGAGACTAACGAATGGAAATTCATATTTATTTATATTTTATTTTATATAGATCTCTTCCACTTTATAGTGGAAGAGATTTTTTTGTTTTGTTTGAATGCGTGTATCTGCAGATAACCTTGTCTGAATTCGATAGTTATTTCTGTGTTGGATAGTCCGTTTATTGACGAAGGCTATAAGCTATAGAAATCACGTTACTACCAAAAGGAGTTGAGTAATGGAATGACAGAGCCAAAGTCGAGTCTATTTGTGATATAGACACAAAAATGCTACTAAAAGTTTAAGAGGGTCAAAGAACTTTTCAAGGTCTGGAAACTCTCATTTTGAGCTGAGAGTGTGTATGTCTTTTGGGATTGAAAGTTAAATAAAATAAAATATATCCATCTTCATTTCACACCCTCTAGGGGTCTCACGTTTCAAAAATTAGAATTTGATACAAAAGTTTAGGACGTCTAAATATATTTTTGGAAAAGATTTTCTTACATTTTTTGGAGTTTTAGCTATTTTTCTGTTTATGTTACTGTTCCAATCTTTGGTCGAATGGTTTGTTTATCTGCTGATGAAAGTTTTAATTATATAGCCTAACTCTCTAAACAGACGAACCGTATTTCATCTGTAATCGAATTGCAAAAAATGCAGTTCAAACGCAGTTGACACGACTGAAACCGGACTGCTCGTTTGGTTTGCAACCGTATGGTCATGTCTGCAATTCATGACTAATTATTCACGTATTGTTATGGGACTCGTATCCTTCACCTTTTGCTTAGAGTCACACACACTATGAAATGCAAATCCGCGAATGTACCATACGTAAAGGCCACGTATCGGCAATAGATCCCGTTTTACACGGGCAGGTTTTTTAACTTAATAACATTATTGATTCAATGAATTTGAAGCTCATTTATACATATTAAAAAGCATACAGCCGAATTGATAACCTCCTCCTTTTTGGGAAGATGGTTAGAAAAGAAAAAAATGAGTCGAAATGAACTCGTATCAAGGTGATGGCAGCCAATTAGATATATGGGGGATGATTTTCCGTGAAAACCTGAATTAGCTACATTTGTCACATACGGGGAATTATCTAATGCTAGTTCCGCGGATTTGTACAATCCCCGACGATATATAGAATAGGTATTATTTAAAAATAAACCAAAGTTTTCCTTGAAGAAATCCTTCACTTACAAGCAAGCACCCCGCTGTTACTGCAACTGGCGACGACACCAAATGCCTAAGCGGCAGGTGGCATGACTTCCAGGACATTGTATACTCAACTGTAAAGACAAGTAGCTTAAGGTTTATTGTCACTTGCAGGGCTGGGAAGAGATAAGGATTATTTTTATGTTTCCTTTCCGTTTCTTATGTAAATAAAGAATCTCGAGAATTAGGTGTAGCATGACTGTTTTGGATCATTCAAAAATAACCGTTATATTAAAGTCAAAACATACATATTAGTTAAAGTCATAGTTTTTAGATTTTTTTTGTTTGCCTGTATATATGCCCGGGTTAAACTTAAAAAATATTACATAGATTAACTTCAAATTTTGCAAGAATATTAATAATGCGGTCGTGTTAACATTTCTTACTTTTAAGGGTTATATTGTCACGCTATTACCTACGACACGGAGGAGCTGTGAAGAATTATACAAAGTCACTATACCACGCGAACGAAGTCGTGGGCACAGCTAGTATACCTAGACTAAAGCAATAAAACCAATATGCAAATCAAGTTCCCGTCATAAAGCCAAAATTAGTACCGATGATAGTAAAATTTAATTCAAATTAAAATATGTAGCCATTACAGTTTACGGCAGTTGGTTAGGACGTTTCATGGGGCCTAGTTGAAGAGATGTTATTCCGGTTAATCGTTCCCCAAGCGTTTATTAGAGGGTAGAAGTTTAATATTAAGGACATTAAGGTAGGGCTCATAAATTAATATTAACGTTTGTTTTATTGTTAAATTATTTGGAGAAGTTTTTGGCGAGGTAGACTTGATGTTTTGATTAGTGGGTGGGTTTTAAGTTATTAGATTTTTTTAAAATTAAACAAGACTGTAAATGTTTATTTTATTTAGTTTCTCAACGTTCTATGATTCTTTATTTGATGCCTAATATAACATCACGCGTTTTATCCCCGAAGGGAATAGGCAGAGGTGCACATTATGCCACTATA